GTCAAAACCATCTCTTGGCTATTTCTGTGAACGAAAGGGAAACCTAATGAAACTTGTTAGTTAGCTTAACCATCTTTTTCAACGTTTCAATGGCACATCATCATCCTTATAGTACAGATTTTTAAAGTTAATTGTGACAATGGAGCACCCACATTATTGGGTGAAGTGTGTTGGAAGTATATGAACTTTGAATCTTTATTTCACCGTCACAAAAAAGTTTATTTACTGTCTCAAATATTATTTGAGAAGAGTAATTGTTGTCACAAAGATTTTTTGAAACATCAAATAAGTATTTTGTGACAATTTTTCTATTCAAACATGATTTTTCATGACGGTAGACACAGCTATCATAAAAAAATTGCCACAAAATATCCTAATTCTTGTAGTGATTATAGGGGTTGAAGTGTGTTTAAAGTGTCTTATAAGCATCAACTTGGAACCTTATAAAATATGATTTTCTTTTCGACGGTTAGAGGTATCTAGGTCAACTTACATGTATTTTAATTAATTTCTTCTTTAGTTTGGTCTGGTCAAAGGCATGTCATCCACGTCAAAATTAGTTATTCATGATAAATTTATCCCTTATGACCTAAATCCAAAAGATTGTTAAGATTCAAATTCATAACGTTTGCATTTATAATTTGTCCTTGTTATCACTTGAGCTATCCTTAATATGGTATATACAACATGATTTCAACCCGTAAAGACTCATCCAAACGAACCAAACCGGACAATGATTCTAATTGGGCAAGTCGATCTTTTCCCATTCTCTTGCTAGCCAGCCATTGGAGGCCACAGATTTTAGTCATCACTTGTCTTCTCTTCACTCTAAAGGGTGTGTTTGGTTCAAATATTTTGGAGGGAAATTGGACTAAATTAGTTTAGTGATAACTTAAAATATCATGATCGATCATTGAAATTATGATTTTTAAAAGCCAAATTACACTTTTTAAACATGAAGTTATAATTCAGTGGGGGTATTCATAATCGATCAAAACATTTTATGATCGATAATGCATTTACTTCAAATAATTATAATTTCACTTTTAAAAAGTATAACTTGTGGGTGGGGGGGGGGGGG